GCGGTTTCAGGGATTTATAGTAACGACTGGAAGAAAACGAAGAGAAATAAGCAACTGGCTTGTTGTAATAGTTTGTAATACTCCTTGTAACGACAGTTTTATCTCATCATTTTGTACTCACTTTCGGTTTATATATTTCTTATACTTCTTGCGAAGAAAACGCTTGGATGGTCGGCCGCGTTTCCTCTCGAAGAATTCCTCTGGCTGTGAGTTCGACGAAGGGTCTTTGTTCTCAGAGTCGGATTGGCTTATTGCTGCCTCAGCTGTGTCTCCATCCGTCTCTACAGCGGGAGCGTTGTTCAGCCCCGAGGAGCTCGCCTCTTCAGGCACCCCAGCGTCTGCACTCACCCTGGGTTTCTTAGCAATACTCTCTGCTTCTGTAACGAACCAAGAAAGAAGATGTGTAGGACTCCTGTGCAGCGACAGGCGATTTTCGTTTTACTTTGTCAAAACTGAAAGCCAACCTTTGCTGCTGTAACCTTCTTCTACAAGGCTGTACTTCCTGGGACGGCCAACCTTACGTCGAGGGCGCCCTTGAGAGGAGGAGGAGATGGGAGGAGAGGGCTTCTTCCTGATGGCAGGGGGCCTTCCTTTGCAGTCCTCGTCTGCAGGGTTGTAGTCACTGTCCTCTGTGGATGAACAAAGGCAAAGGAAATATGATTATATTCTGATTCACTACATCAGACAATAATTGCTTTTTGTCAGCATCTGGGTTCAATGAAGAAATCTTTATCTCTGACCTTCAGGATCATCAATTGCACCCGCATCCACAACATCATCTTCTTCTTCCTCTGCCTTTTGGGGCGGAGCAGCCTTTGCCTTTGCTGCGTTCCTCTTTTCAGCTCCTTCCCTCTCTGCCTGGCGGCGGGCAAACGTCTCACTTTTAGGAGGCCGCCCACGTTTACGCTTCTTTGACGCATCGCCTGAAACCAGACATTGTACCACAGAAAGTGATTTTATTGTAAATAATACAATTCTAATTATAATGTGTTTTTTAAATGGGATAAACATTTTTTATAAGGCGCGTGTCTTTGTGATACCTAAATCTTACCTGCAGATTTGAAGTGTTTGTCTCTCATGTGGTTGATTAGTGTGTCTTTGGAGGCACTTTTGTATGGACACAATTTACACTTGAACTGCTGGACAATCACTACTTCCATCATCTCCTCCAACTCAGCCAGGTTCGGTGGTCTCTGTCCGGAGCCCCCTACCACGGCTGACGTCTCCATCTCTCTGAGCCCAGCTTCACCCTGAGGCCCCTGGGAGCCTTGGGGCTCCTCTTGGCTCGGTGAGTATTGTTGGGGCAGCTCAGGCTCTGGATTGGAGGTGTACGTCCCACTGCTGCTGATGTAGGCGCCCGGCTGGCTCTCGCTGCACTCCAATGCCTCGGGAAGTCCGGCTGAGCCTGCGGTGTCGGCCAGAGGGTGCTCGGATGAGGAGCTGTCGTCGGCGTAGAGAGAGGCCTCCGGGCCATTGCTGCTTTCCAGGTAACAGGAGTGCTGCGGCTGCTGTTGGGAGTGCTGTGGCTGGTCTGGATCCTGGTTCCGCTCGTCGTCATCGTCTCTCGCTTGATACTGAGAACAACCTGGCTGCTCAGAGTCTGCAGCTGCAACACACTCCCCTCCGTACTCCGCCCCATACTGCCGACTTGTCTGGGTCCGGTGGTCCTCGCTGCTGTCTATGTAACCGCGGGAATGATGCGGCTGCGCTCCCTCGTCCAACTCACACTCCAGATACCCAGTGCTGCAGTCCACCATGTAGTGACCTCGGCTGGTAAGGTTGGAGTCGGCCCCGCTGCATTCCACATACCCAGGCAGGTCCTGGTCACTGTTATCACCGCTGTAGTCGGGAAACCCTGACTGAGAGCGGGTCTGGTCGGGTTCCTCGCCTGAACACTCCACGTAGGAAGATGAAGACTCCCCTGTCTGGTCGGGACCATCTGCACTGCAGTCCATATACTGGGAGGGGTGGGAGTGCTGGGGCTGGTCAGGGCAACTGCTGCTGTAACCCGAGGGGCCTGGCCGTTCGTCGGGCTCGAGGTTGCCCTGCAGATCTCCCTGATCCCGACAGGTGGACGTGGGCCCTTCTGCGAGACCTTCTATGGCTACACGATCAGAGAAGGCCGAAGATGACATCTGGGCCACCATAGGAGCCCCTATAGCAGAAAAAAACCCCTATTAGATGTATTCACTCAATAAATAAATGCTGTGTGAGTAACATCCCACCCAAGCATTAAGAATATTGTTATAATACAATAACATGTAAATACCTTACTCATAAACTTTTACAATGAATTTGAAATGGGGGGGGGGGTGCAGTTTTACCATCATCTGGCCCTTGTAATATCAGATACTGGGTTGTTTCTGCACCTCCGTCTTCTGCGCTGGTCACAGCTATGCAGCCTGACAAAAGAACCGCAGAACAAGAGAAGATATCTGCTTCATTATGGTAAAAATAACCAAACTTACCAACATAAATGCTTCACTGCCTACGATATAACAGAAAGGGGAGTGCCAGAGGAAATACCATTCACGATGTCAGGGCCAATGGTGGACTCAATGATCTTGTCAATGGCAGACCCAAGGTCTGACGAGGTAGAAGCAGTCGAGTCAGAAACAATCATGGCTCCTTCAGACGCAGCACTTGAGTGGACGAGCACTTGGGCTGACTCGGACACAAGCACTGACTGAGTTACTGTGGAGACGCTGGACACGCTGGTGGACTGGGCCACTGAGGAGGAGTCTGGGAGGTGGACGGAGGAAACTCTGACGTCTGTACTGGAGCTGGTTTCTGGGACAAACACCTTGACGGGTAGGAGCAACAATATGACGGCAAGAAACTTTAATGACAAAAGCAGAAATGCTAATCTTATTTATACGCAAAACTTTAAAAAAAAAAAAGCTTACCACAACTCCCTCTGAGCTCTGTCCCACATGGCAGTCAGATTCTGGGGCCTGTGCATGAGAGGCAGCTGCATCACTGCTGTCTGCAGACATGGCCTCTGATGACTCCATACCCATGCCGCTTTCAGATGGTTCCTCCATCCCCGCGGGACCTGCATCGCTGCTGCTCTCCACCTCATTCTCCTCCGAATCCATGGCTATCAAGAAAAATGCATTGTGTTAAGATGAGAACAACTCTCGCAATAATTACAATGATTCATGGTCGCTGCGACCTTGTCACTAGAAAAATTAACTGTTCTCAAAGTCTCTTTATTTTGCACTTCACATTTAGCGTTCAGTCTTTATTTAGATTTGGATAGTGTGACAAGTATGTGGAAATTCAAATTCCTTTATATCAAACGGTAACCTGGAAATATGGGGTCAGATCAGTCTCCATAATTGCAAATGCACACAGAAAGACTCACAAATGAAAAAAAGAAGATTCACAAATATATTCGATTTATATATTTTGCAATTATTGAGACTGACCCGACCCCATATGGAAATAGTTTTAAATAAATAACAGTAACATTTGTATCCAGAGGTGGAAAGAAAACCAAAAGTACACTGAACCACTTTGATTTGTTGACACTTAACTTTTTAATTATTATTTTTAATTATTATTATTAGGGGGGATTATCAAGGGAAAACAATCAGAGGAAAAAAGAAAAAACCCACTTATTATTTAAAGAAAGGTTTGTAGGCGACTAACTCCACAACACCGAATGTCTGAGTTAATGCGTTTGTGATGATGTTGGTGTTTCATGTCTTTGGGACAAACACACAGAACTGTTTCATTTCCGTAGACTTAACCCTGATTAAACCAGTTCCTCTGCTTAAGACCAACGAGGCTACGTTAATAAACGACAGCCAAGTTATAAAGTCTTTTCATTCAGAGACAATATAGGTTTTGTTCTGACATAAGTAACATAAAAGTAACACAAAATAGGTTATCTGGTGTGTAAAGTTAACGCTTCGACTGTTCGAACCAACGTTGGCTCGCGAGCAGTTAGCATTAGAACCACAGCAGTTAGCATTAGCTTCCTGCTGGCTAACATGCTAACGGGCATTGTTGTCAGCTCGGTATCTTGTTCGTTGAAGGAGGAAAGACCACTTAAATGGTCCCGGAGGCCGTTTTAGTGATTGGATACGACAGTGTAACGAAGCTACAAACAGTTGTGTTCAAGTCCGCGGGTCAGCCAACACTACGGGACGCGTGTGTGTGTGTACGTGTGCGTTAGATGTTTCAGGACGGGCCCAGCTGCCCTTGATCCTGCCTGCTCGGCGTCGCCATTTTGCAGCTGGTGGCCCCGCTTTACGCTCAGGCATTCTGGAGGCTCTACTGGGGACCTCGCGGGCTTCAGCCGCGGCAGATCGCCCAAATGCTCTCCCTGAAGAAAATGAAAATGTTTTCCTTCCCCGGCACGAGAAGCTCCGCGGTTTTTTCTTACCTTGTATTTTCGAGCAGGAGGGTTTCCGCCGGCGTTGACGCGCTGAATAGAACAGGAATTAGCAACGGATAATAGTTGCTTCTTTCTAGTCGGGCGCCATGAGACTCTCCTTGCTTCCTGTCCGTGCAACCGGATCTTATTTATTGTTTTGTTCAACGTTAGACCTCTCGCTGTCCAAGCGAACGTCGGTATATTTATCCATTTTTAACTATTTTGATTTACCAATGGAGTGTTTGTTGTATGTGTCACATATTCGGAAAAATATATTCTAATCATTTAGTGGACTATTGCTTTTAGAGGCAGGCGTGTTATGCAATTAGATGCGGAGTAATATGCGTTCACTGGGGTCGGTGTTTCAAGAGACTAGCGTCAGATAATCCGTATTCTAGATATGAATTAAATGAGTTTCTCAATCACGACATTGCTGTCGTGTTGTCGTTTACACGTGGGGAATCTCGATGTCCGTGTATCTTGGTTACGTTGACATGTGGACTACACGCGCTCCTGTTAGGTGTGCATGGTCATGTATACAAGTACAACATGCGAGGATCTGGATCCATGTTCATGTCAGTTAATCAATTGTTGCGGCGAGCGACGAGACGACTGGTAGTTATTACAGAATGTTTATTGCAGTGAAAGCATGAACTATTACAAATACAAAACATTGCAGTCTCATAAATAATTTCAGTGAAGGAGACATGAAATTGTCTTCCAGTGCAAGTCCTTTCAGAAAAACCCAAATATATTTATACAAAACAAAAAAGCTCCAGGACACAAAAATAGATATATAGAAATTGCTATAAATATCAAAATAATACTTTAAAGTCTGAACCTCTGAGACAAAACCCAGCAAATCTGGAATCCAGATAGCGTATGATAATATTTTAGTTGTGGTTATGTCTTAAATTTTAGACCACATGAACCAACCTATTCACAGATTATCACACTGAGGGAAAGGCAGTGCCACAAATCAATTGGCTTTGCCTTCACTTTGGGTCAAGGATGTATGGTAGAAAATTAGCCAACATCAATGATGGACAATCTTTGAAATGCAAACGCATTCCACATCATACACTTACAAATACTGCGTCACATTCTCCCTGACACCTGCACAGGAGAGAGAAGCAGGTGCTACAACATTGAAGGCGATTTCCAGCTCATCCCTGTTCTTCATCTCAGTATTGAGTGCGTGAAGAATCTGAGCACTTTAGAAGATCATACTTCACGTAACCGACACGATCCACCTGCCTGCGGGAGTTCATGCGCCAGTAGAAGCGGTCTCTGCAGAAGTAGATGTGACCTAAAGTGGAAATATAGAAATTTCAATCACCACAAGACCAAAAAAGTGATTATTTCATGCATCAATCTACCGTTTATATGCTGATTTAGTCTGTTGAGCTCAGCATAATGTTTATAATTACCTTTGTACTGGAACACGTCATGGGCATCATTTGGGACTCCACCAAAGACGACATCTGTGTATCTGGGGTAGCCTTTGTCAATTTTCTGGTCTTTCACGTCAAGCCTGTGGTTGTAATGGCAGAGGATTTCATTAAAATCAAGAAAAAAACACGTCTTGAATCATATTCTTTGGTTATAATGTAAAAGAAAAACAATCAAATTTCAGATTAACTGAAAAACCACAGTGGAGGAGGGTTTGAACTGGCTTGCTCAAAGAATAATAGCAGTTAAAGAAGAGCTTACAGGGTATAATTTGACCGGGGAACTGACCTAGAGACAGACATGCTTCCCATCCTGATTTCCAACCCAATTTTAACTCACCTCCAGTAGTTCTCCCCACTGAAGAGCAGCACTTTGCCTTTGCCCCTCTGGAGGGCTCCCTCCACCTTCTGAATGCTGTTGGGGAGGCCGAGCTTCTCGATGCCGCGGGGCCCCAGGACGCTCTTCCCTGTGTACACCCAGAACCGATTCCCTACAGACAGAAAACTATCTTTAGAAAAAATATTCTTGCATTTTTGGCTTATTTGTAAGTGGTTTCCCACACACTGTATGCAGCTCTATTACCTGAGAAAAAGTACAATTTCCTAGCAAGAATGTCCTCAAAGGCAGAGTCAACGACTGCTGGCAGGGCGGGCCACCTCTCTGAAATAGAAAAGGGTCCCTTGGACTCTCCGTTGCTCTCGCTGGGCATCTTCCAGTAATGTCTGTTGATCAACACATGTACACACAATAAACACACCTCCACTGCTGGTTTGGGTTCATGTTGCTGATGTTACAAAGAATAAGGGAACCGTTGCTTACCCGTCCTTGAAGAAATGTAGTTCTCCCTCAATCACTGTGATGGTGTCAAATTTGGTCATCTCGCAGGCGTCTTTGGTGGGATCCACAGGCGTTGGGGCAGTTGTAGTGGTGGTGGGTTCATCAGGGTCTGGGTAAGGGGTAGTGGTTGGGGTTTTGGGTCCAGGTGGGGTTGGATCAGGGCCAGTTTTGCCTCCTGAAAAAATACAATGATGTTGGTTGAGAGAAAGTGTTGTGAAGTTGGTAATTTAAGCATTTTTGTATAACACACTTTATCGTGACCTCACCATAGAGATATTGGATGCCTTCAATATCATCTTTATGAAGGGAGAAGTCTTTTACGTAGCTGTACATGGGGTACATGAGCGCATCTCTTATGTTGGAGTGATCTAGGCCAAGAGCGTGTCCAAACTCATGGGCTGCCACCAGGAACAGACTGTAACCTGGAACACATGCACAAAGGAATATTAAGAAATTGCAATGGCAAATACGTGAAGGGTTTCTCTTCTCCATTTTCTCTGTCTTATATTCATGTTACTCACCCTGGTCGGGACAGAAACCCCATTTCGCGTCGTCATCATAGCTGTCAGTGGTACTGCACCACAACTTGCCATCTCCTCGTCCCTCACTTGTGCAGGAGTCATACTGTTTACCCAGGAACACGAAAGGGAAGTGGCAAGGCTCCCCCTCAGAGTTTCCACCAATCACAGCGGTTTCTGTACAAACAAAGAAATAACAAAAACTGTGAAATTACAAGCCGTTGTGGCAGCACTCCTCAGCACCCAGGAATGGTGGTTCCTATCCCTCACCCCGACTGGGACAAAATCCGTATGTCTTGTCATTGTCAAAGTTGCTGGTGGTGGCACACCAGCGGTAGCCGTCAGTGCGGCCCTCCGTGGTACAGCTGTCATACTTCTCCCCCAGGAAGACGAAGGGGAAGACACACTCGGCTCCGTTAGCGTTTCCGTCAACTGTGTACAGAACTGTCAGGATGACAAAAATGGGCGGAGGATGATCAGATGAGGTAAGCGTACCACAAATGCATCTGGCTGACCTCTGACCTGTGATTTTCCTTGCAGAACAAATTGTCATGCTTACGTTCACTGGGGCAGAATCCATATTTCTTGTCAATACTGAAGTCGGCTGTGGTGGCACACCATGGCAGGTTATCCGAACGTCCGTCAGTGGTGCAGGTGGTGTAAGATTTGCCCTCAAATGTGAAGGGGAAGTGGCACATGGCACCTTCAGCATTCCCATAGCGGGTCTTGATAGCTGAAGTTACAGAAAAAAAACATAGACGTAATGTGAGGTATAAAGTGAACACTAGGGGGAGACAACCTCACACAATTTGTCCGTTTTGAGAACTGACTTTTGGTAAATATTATTACCTGGTCCTGCGCCAAGGGTCCAGTACTCATCATCGTCAAAGTGGGCATCACCTTGCAAACCCTCACCAGGGGGGTAAGCATGGGCCAGAAGACCGTCTTTACCGTCAAATGGATATGGGTCTCCATGGTCTGAACAGAAATTAAAACAGGTCAGTCTTTTGGTTTTTAAACTTGTATTTGGATCAAAATCGTTGTACAAATGTGTGACATTAATATGAAGAACACCCATGAATTGAAAACAGTACAAATACATACTTTGTTTTCCAAATGAAATCATGATGTCAGCTGTCCCATCAAAGAGGCGGGTAAAAGTCAGAGGGGTCACATCACTCCACACCTTGAAGGCCCTGGCAAAGGCTTCATCAATCAAAGAGGGCTCCATGTCTGGGGTATAGTTAATGATTCTGTGGAGGAGAGAAGAATGACACTCTGTTTTCAGGCCTGTAAATGACAATGTAAGTGGAGAAACCTGGGGACATACGGCGGTTAGATACTCCATTAAACCATTGGGATATTATTTCTACACACTCACCTATAGGTGACATCCTGATGGTCCCATTTGAGGTCTCCCTCAAATGTTTGGTAGTTGGCAACATCAGGAACCCCACAGCGAGGCCGTTTCATGGCCTCCAGGGTGGACTTGTCCAGCTCTCCAGTCTCCTTCAGCCCCATCTGCCTCTGCATCCTCTTCAAAGCCTTGGAGGTGGACACCACCGACTGGAAGCCGCTGCGTTGCACCGTGTTCATGTAGCCAAACTTATTCAGATAACCCTGGCAGGAAAAAACGAGAAACCACAATAATGAGTCCAGATTGTGATTGTATCATGTGATGAGCACGGTCGAGTACGTCCTTACGGAGACAATCTTGTCTTGGAAGAGATTATCCTAATGTTTTTGTTCTCACTTTTACACTCTTATACAGCTCAAACTCTGAAGAAACAATTTTTGTTTCCAATATCATCACGATAGAGGTCTCCGTCTAGGTAATTACTTCTCCGCACAGCTTGATTGCACACTGTTCAGGGATTTTCAGTCTACCAAAAGAAAATGAACCATCTGCTACTCACTTCTGCCAGCTCCGTATCAGTCATATTCTTGATGATGTCTCCTGGGAAGGTGACAAAGACGGACTTGAGGGGAAGGCTCCATCCATCATGAATGCTTATCCCCACAATTAAAATCACAGCTAAACCACAGCACCTCATGATGAGACCTATGTTAGCTTTCTACAAAAATGTATATATATTAAGAGCCTTCGAGGTAAGTAGTGCTCAGTTAGACAAAAAGGACGAAAAAGCAGTGCTTCTCTGGCAGCGTTGGCTTCTCTCTTTGCTTTGACTGGGAGCTCTTGTCGCCTCTTCTCTGTGCTCTTGGGTTTCGGACCTCGTTTTTATACATTGCAAGATCTTAGTCACTTGACCACGCCCCCACTCACCACTAACCTCAACCCTCCCACTCACGTCTTCACAGAATGCACGTTGAATGAACAGGGGAATTTCCAAAATGTCCAAATTTAGCCTTTCCTGACAGGTAGTGAGTAGTGAGCTAATGGTTCTTGTTGGACGTACTTCAAGCTGGAGGAGGTGAAGAAAGGCAGTAGTGGATGAGACCAATTATAGCACCGTATAATCCATTCAATTTATATTATATAATAATATAATAAAATAAACCATTGTGCCTGAAAACCCATACAAATTATCAACCAGGTTACAAATTGCTTATTTACTCAATATCTTAAGAATGTAGGCAATGAAAACATTCAGGAACTAAACACATGTGTAGATCCTTAGTGTAGTTTTTCTTTGTCGTCCTTATAATTCATTCTAAAACATCTTCAAGACATCTTTTTTTACCCGAGAACAACACACTCATCATGAGACCCAGCCAGACACTTCTGTTATTTAGATGGTCCAAACAAAGGTATAAAAAGCTTTTTTCGGCCTTTTCATAAATATAGATTTATTTCCTCTTTACCCGTATTTGAATGCTGTATATCAGTAAGACCCAAAGTCATTTCTTACAAAAACGTATGTATTTCAATTATTTTATTTTCCAACATGGTAAAGGTTTGTCTAAATGTAACACGTTTTCTAATTCCAATGTATTTAAACATGATGTTTTTGCAGTATTGCATTATCGTTGTGGCCAGATTTTTGGGAACTACAAGCTTCAACACCGATGCAACATCTTTACTGGCTTCTTTCACATAATGAACCAATTCATTAGCAGTAACAAAATTCTCATTTTGCAAGCATCGCACCTAATATGTCTTTATTTTCTACAAAGCGGACCTTACACGTCTGTTACATAACAGTTTCAGCTATAAAGAACGTTTTAGCCAATATTTTGTATTCTAAAGAACAAATTCTATGCTGGCAGATCTATAATCTATCTGTAAAGGAGTTTGCGTTTGCGGGTTAGGTATATGTTGGTATTTTAAGGTATGTGAGTTTCAAGGTGTTAAGGGCCAGGATGTGTCTCAGCCAGCATCTTGTGACTCATTTACGTTCCCACATGAATGGCTAAAGCTGTAGATGCGGGACTTTTTTATAATGAGTACACTGCTGACAGCCTTTTCTGTGCAAACATGTTTACTCGGTTGCTCTGCTGCATTTTCAGATGCAGGACAATAATGGAAAAATGGTTTTCCGAATGGGGGAGGAAACGTAAGCTGCAATGACTTTATCAATTTGGAGAGTTGACAAGAAAGAAGTGCAGGTCAACACAAATCCTCTAATGACATGACCTTTTATGGTCAACGGAAATGTGTACCGATCAATGTGTACCGATCAATGTCCAAATAAAGATGTGTTGTTCTTCCTTTATATTTCAATATATGGTTTCAAAATGAGTTGGATGATGACACATTTAAACATGTGTCATTCTACCCCCTTATTTCTACTGCTGACGTGTCTTAAGCACTTAGTAATTTACCGCCAAATTGACTTCCCTTTTTCGCAATGTATTTTTGCTTGTTTGTTGTGATTTTCTTGTGATGTTGTGAGAGCAGCCACCATATACATGCATATTGTTTTGTTAGATTAGTACAGTGCGTCCACACATGGGCTCACATTTTAAATCTCTAGTTCTTGATAACAAACGCACCTCTCCAGATTTGAACAATGATGCTGACCTGTCAAAACACAGTAAAAAGGATTTTAAAATGTCAATTTCCTTTATTTGATTATGCGTGTTGCCCTTTTCGGACTCTCACTTTATATGCACATTTTTCACAGGGTATTCTATAAAACAAACTCACCCAACTCGACTATAAATTGTCCTTTGTTTTCTGTGTTTATTGACACTTGACACACACACCACAAAAAATACAGCTACAATGTAGGTACATAACACATATTTCCTTTTTTATAGTCATTCCGACACGATCATAAGGTTATTTCTGTATATATGTGGCTCGTCAGTGGATCCCCATGCCTCCTTTGAAAACATCTGCCACTGATTTTAAACGGCGTCAAAGGCCTAATGAAAACGGCTCCATGCACGTTAACAAATACCACACTTCCTTTGCTTTTGCCACTTCACTTACAAAAAGACGTCTGGCACAGATACTCAAAAAATACACATTTTTGCGTGGCACTCTTTTCCAAAATTGCTCTTAGACACAGCACAGCCTGTTGGCCTGCACCACCATCAACATATGAGGCGACCAACTGCGTCATCAGAGAGCTGGATAATGTCAGTGGAACAGCGAGACCCTCACAGTTCACGGGTCTTTATCATTAGATTAACCTTGCAACAACAGAGCCACGCAGTACAAAAAAGGTTGTCATTTGTGACGTGGCCGTTTCTTTTTTTCTTCTCTGCAGCCGCTGAAACCGAGTAAAGCAGAACCCGAAGGAATGAACCCCGTTGCACGTCTCAGAAATGGCCTAAATCTTTGCATGCTAAGGACATTTACAGCTCAGCGTGAAAACTCTGATCATACGCATTGTGTTCTCACCAAAACTCATATGTTTGAGCCCTGGTGTTGTTTTGCTGTTGGTGTACGTTCTTTAGTGTTCAGCCCTGAACAGAAAGTTTCTTAATTGTGACCCTGTTCAGTTTATACGCTGCCTCGTTAAAAGCAAACTGTTGATTTATTATGGGATGTTTCTAGCAGGCCGTTATAAATAAAAAGTCACTTCCTGTCTGCCACGGTTGACGTGGGCGCTCGTTCAACTGCGTTGTGTTTATTAAAAGCTGGTTTGTTGACGCTGCGGCGGGACACAGAGACTGTGTTAGATGTGGACGCAGCATTACTCCAGCACCACGTCCAGGTACTTTACCAAGCCCTGCTGACTCCGCTCGGCCTCAGTTATTCTGCGGGAAAGCTTTGTTTTTATGACCTACTAAACTCTTCGCAACAGTTTATTTGGGCTTTCCAAGAAGTTTTCCTCTGTGCTCCCTTTGCTTCATTTCTGGTCATTCTATGTTGTTCACTTTATCATCACAATATCGATGAAGCCAAATGTTGAACGTATTGTCTGTTTATATTGGAAAGCCTCGTTAAATTGTCAACACACATGCTTGTGAGTGAAACTGGCTCACAAAGATCCTCATTACAAACAAAACTTATGGCAGGATCAAAACAAGCGACTGTCAGGGCGTAAAACATATCGGGCCAAGTGTCACTTATACAACAACTTGTCTGTCATGAGTCACCAGACAGCGTGATAAGTGAGACAGAAATAATTTGACAGGAGTGGCAGCGTGGGGGCTCAAGGGGAATCAGCTTCGACTCATGTCTCCCTGGAAGTGTACTTCTGCTTCACCAAACACTTCTTCAGAATCTAGTTTTATTTATTTAATTAATACTCGGTTGAGCTGAAGGACTAAACTAAATGTAGATCAGAGTCGTTTTAAGACCTTATCTGAGCTGAGTGCAATTTTTCTCTTTTATCTTAATGTGGAGAAATGAAGTTCAAGCACGCAGCCGGGGATCAAAGCGCCGCGCCGTGTGCAGGTGATCCAAGCTGTTGTATAAACCATCACTGTTATAGCAATAACGCGCATTTACTGAGATTCCAACTCAGGGTTCTACAGGATTGGGACACTTTGCTGCTGATGTGTGTAAGAGGAAGTGACAGAAAGGCCTCTGCAATGATGACTTTGATACACACGTGGTTACGCAACGTTGTTGACTAACGTGTGGCTTCATGAGAACAAAATATACCATCTCAGTTGTGACCTTGCTTCATCGGTGTGAGCAATGATTGTAACAGAAGTGATTGAGCGATAAGTACCCAGTCCAATCTGAATTTTAACTGCTTTCTTCAGACGGGAAATGAGAAGAAGGGAATGACATGAGACGGCGATCTGGCCCGTTTGGAGCCATTGAGGAGGGGAGACGGGGCCTGCTGAGCGTGGGCCGCTTTTGCTGAGCGAGTCCAGGCAGGGGGAGTTGTGTTGACTTTATGGACAGCCGAGTTTCACCACCACAGTTAACAGCTAATTACTGCCATCCAACGCACAGCCACAAGGGAGGGAGAGCACGGGCCACAAGTGCAGCTCCGATTACACCAAATCACATTATTGCTTTTAAACTGCACATGGAGCGACGCCTCCATAGCTTTTTAAAAGAGTTGTTTTCAAAATCTGCGGCCCGTAAACCGAAACAGAACAGTGCTTATTTTTATGTGTTATAATAAAGAGTCATGGATGGGCAGGTCTGTTCTCCAGGTTTTTAAAACCAACTTCACAGAAAACAGGGGGAAGAGGATGGGAATCTCCCCTCCCGATAGAGGAAAAGCAGCTGATGGCAGGTGGGAGGTGAGTCAGCCTCAGCACTTCTGCTGCCTCACCACACTCTGGTTCGGACTTGTTGTGGCAGGTAATATTCCCCGCGTTTGACTTGAGGTGGTGTTGCCTCAGTTTGAACTTGCGTTGGCTTATGACAAACATAACAAACATTTCCCTCCGTCGGTTACGGTAATTCAGCAAAACAACTTGAACCCTGACATTTACTGTTGGTCGTTACACGTTTACTGATGACTCGGCTTGTATCTACTAAATGGTCCACAGTAAATCCAGCATAACATGAACTCTGGCAAAGCATTATTACCAAGCAAATGTCCGAGGAAGGCACAATGAAAACTAAAACATTAAAGTGATGAGCTCATTACTGCATCGTCGATTAAAATCCAGCGTTAGAATATAAATAGTTTTGAATTTGGATTGTATTGTGTGTATTGGATGATGTACTTTTGCCTGTGTAACTTTGAATAGGTTTTACTATTGGCTTTGAACTGAGTGGGTGCCCTTATGTGGATGAGGGAACATGTTCTAGATATCTTGAGCATCTTTGTAAGACCAAATCAAAAACTTCAAACAACCTTTTTTGCTTATAATAAAAATAGATGGAAAACTATCTTACAAATTTTACTGTACATTCTTTTCAAACACACGTTTTTCGTAAACAAATAAGGAATTGACATTTTCCACAAGTTTTTCTCAACTAATCAAGCATATTTTAAGCATTTCAAAAAAAGAATTGTGGCTACATGTTGTTTCTTAGCATTACGTGGCTGAATTAAATCCCAAGTGACAACTCGTTGAATTCTGGCTCCTTCATCCCTTCCCCTTGAGACATTTATTTAAGACCTTTTCATGTCTGCTCCAAAAACCAGATTTTTATTTTAAGACCTTTAAAAACAACCCTATGGACGCTGTAAGTGCCATCGGGACCTGCGGGAGATGTTTAATGAAGAAGCCAGATGTGACCCAATTAGTACCAGTCAGCAGCCTGCCGGTGAGTACAGTGAGTACCTGCTGCTGAGTGGTAATCAAACCTACCAACACGTTCACTTACCAGCAGGGGGCAGTCTGTGATCAAGCTCTTGACGACAACAAATATAGCTCTAATGGGGAGAGAAACAACATCAAGCCTCAACAGACAGTACTGTGAAGGGAGGTGAAACATGGTCCTCAACAAAGCATTAAACCTCTGCTCAAAAACATTTTCTAATGAAATCCTATGAATCCTTTTTTCATCTTCTCTTACCTCTGGATTCACACAGGAGACGCTCTCCCTCCCTGTTTTACACCTTCACCGTAAGCTGTTTTACAAAGTACCTCCCGAGGCAAACATTTCTAATTTAGAAAGCCTGCTCTGTGAATAATTGATTGTTTGGAGAAATTAGTTTGTGTTATTTGCAGATACGCTAATGCTGTTTTATTGAAAGATTTTCTCACCCTTTATTCTAACGTTCAGTGAGCGAGATGAACTCGTTTCTGGAGCACTGTAAAATACATTTGATTGATTTGATCTTATCTCACCTTTAGGTTCCATTAGCAGCAAACAGTGCTGTAAATTGATCCCCTTTGTGTGATACCTTTGCTGTATTGCAAATGTTTATCTAAAAAACGTCGCATATCATTACATCTTAATCAACCGCAATTTGTTGCAGCGTGCAAATATTCCATCTGCTGCAAATATGCATCTACTCATTTTTGTTTGAAGTTTTTAATGCGTTCCAGGTTGGTGAAGCCAACTAACGGATCTGGTCACATTGCTGTATCATGACACAGATGCTCCTTCAACTAAAGGCACAATCGGTGGCCTTGTTTTTATGACCGGTTGCTTTCTAGTGAAACCACACGTGCAGAAGACTGGCAACAATCAACTGATGGTGGATGTTACCCTTGGCTTTACTGTATGACACCATCGTACTGTGGAGCTTATTTTCTGTACGCGCTGCCCTTCGAAGATCTTCATTAGTGTTGTGATACAGCTGTTCCCAAAAACAGATGTTTTGATAGGAAGCGTGGACACAACATGCTTGCTTATTTATGAAGCTTGATGAGAACCCGGATGGATCAAACCAATCCATTTTTAATTTAAAAAAAAAACTTTACTGGGATATAAATATAGCAACGCTCTTTCTTCTCAGCCTAACAAGTGAAGCGAGTCTTTGGGAGATTGGAAGGTCACTCGGTAGATCTCCACGTAATGTACAGAGCCTAATATTGACTTGAAACATGGTTGAAACAAACCATTTTGAACAAATATTGATCCAAAAACGTGCATTGCATGCATCTCTTGTACTTGAAATACTCAGTAGTTTGCCTTTTGTTTCCATGTATCTTTTCCCTTGCAAATGTGAAAGTTATTTTTGGAATCTAATGTAAATGTAATTCAAAATATGTCCCAACATCAAATACAAGGTCACTACCCCGACCGAGTGTTTACTGCAGAATGTGAATATGATGTGATGGTAAGAGCCTCCCTTTCTACTGCGATCTGCGGTTGGCACCCACATTAGGACAAGGACAGCGGGTCGCTGCGACGAAAGGTCACCTCTGTTGTTCCATTTGAAATACAAAACACCAGTATTTCCTTCCCTCTTATTTGCCGTTCTTATCTGAAGTCGCCTTCAACTTGATATTTAATCCTTCTCTGAAACTCAGCATTTTATCCAATGAAACCAAACCAGGATGAAAATAATTACCTCCAAGATTCAGTAATAGGTGTTACTCTGAATGTAAAACACTAAACCAAAGAATTGATTTACTACCTTTCCGCACGACACTAGATCACTTGAACGTGTGTTGTTTATTTTTCTGTTAATGGATTCTGGACAGATTACATCTGAAGATTGAAGTGAATCTGAGACACAGCAGGAGTAAGCATTCCTAAATAGTCTTTCCAGGGACTTGACGCCAATGCAAATATCAAAAGGAACGCAGACACAGAGAGGAAAAATGGGTTTCCAGAGCTGTGACAACTCTCGACTGTTATCAGGAGCTGCTCGCTGCATTATTGCCGCAGTAATGAGAACTCTGACAGGCCGCCATGCAAGATACGGATGGAGAGTTGAGATATCTGGGGCTTTCAGAGCTTTGCAGTGGAATAATTACAACTGAAGTGGTGACTTGCCCGGGGGAAGGAATAGGTAAAAACAACCATACAAAACAAGTGCTGCTCTGAGTTGTTTGGTGTCTTTACTTTAGTTTGTGTACCTGTGTTAACATACAGACTTTATTCTATGGAAGCAGCAGATCGATAGCGGCCGTTAATGCATGCTCAAATCAGATTTATTTTTTGGCAACTTCTGGGAAGCAGAGACCAGCTGTACACACAACACTGCAATATCTTTATAAGTTAATATGGTAAAAAGTAAGCATATCGTAGCTTATTTACACAGCCAGCCGGTGCGCAGCCACAAAAGCTTCGATGTGGTCCTTTTCTAGCTGAGAAATTAGAGTCCAACAATAACTCTTCTTCACCAGCTGCAACATTGATGCTAGACAGGTGTGTAGTCGAGATCAAAATGAAGGCCGAGTACAAAGGTACAACGGTTTGGCCCGAGCAAAAGCGCTGGAAGCAGCGAGGAAGGAAGGAAATAGTTGGCAAAGCAACACAATGAGCTTAGAGATGAAATAAACATGAATTTAGCTCAGCACACAGGTGGGCTTGAGTGGCTTCGTCATCTGTAACAGTCCCTTTCACATACAAATCTTCAGGTGATCTTTTTGTGTGATGGACAATTTCAAATGATTGAATGAAAACCCTTTTCCACTTTGTATTTGACTCTGCAACCCTTAAACTACGTTCATAAATTACTGGTTTGGTTTCCCGATTGTGTTGTAGAGACAAATATAATACCTGTGGTTACCTGGATAATGTTCACCTGGATAAAATTCAGCTCTGCATTCATCCACCAGAGCCGGAAGGATGTTGTTAGATAGATAGGATGCAAAACTCAAGTTTAGTCAAATCAAGTGATGAAAGAGTTTCTTGGTTATCGTCTATAGCAGTGAAACCCAAATTTCAATATCAACATTTTTGTGACTTGACATGCACTCATTGAGAAAACAGAAAGCCTGTTTTTGGTGGCATCCTTCAAAATGTATTTCCTGTTGCACATTATTGGCTTTTCAACATAATTCTGAGACAGAGTTAGACTGTGTGCTCAGTAGACCCGTTTGCATCACAGGTCATCCATCAACCTATCAAAGGATTTATCCCAAATGTGTATATTTCACTATTCAATTGGAATCAATACTCATAATATATCGTGAAAATAGCATTGTGCACATTAGATGATGTGTTTATTCATACTGCTTTTCTTCCCACGGTGTGTATTATGTACAGTACATCTGGCTATACACTTTGGTGTGGATGGCATTAAAGTTTCTGCCTTCCCGGGTCAGACTGACTGCAATAGAAACCACGTGAGAGATTGTCACCCCTCAGGAGAGTCCGTCGGTAGACTGTCTTGGCCAGAGTTCTGGGTCTTTCCAATTAAAAGCACACAACGACTCTACATTCCCGTTCGTTTTTTTTTGTCATTGGCATTTAACACAATTTTCACTCTACAGATACCTCAGTTGGACATTATGCCAAATGTTGAGTTTAGAACGTTAGTTAAGCTGCTCACAATATTCACGTTCCCTTTCCCACTCCAGTCCGTGCTAATAGGAATACAGAGTAAGGCCAGGGAAGCCGCTGTAAGTCGTGATAACGTTATCAGTCCATGTAGTGTAAAAAAAGGAAAAACACAGCTCTCACCAGCAGCTGGCCCGCAGGCCGGATAAACACCCGCTTTAAGTGCATCTTGTTTCTCTCCCGCGAGTACAGACGTCGTCCTGCAGCGGCGAGTCTCCTGCACACAGCTTCGAAACAGGTTAAAACCAGCCGTTCGACCCAGCGGCTTCTTGTCTTATCGCCGTCCATCTCCTCCGCAATGGATCAATGCTGCTGGACCCCACGAGTCACTCAGCACCAGCGGAGAAGGGTTAAGGGATTACAAAACCCTTCAATCTGCACAGCTCCGCGCCGCGAGGAGCTCTCCCATAGTGCCACTTGCTCTGCCACCGCGGTGCTCAAGGCGAGGGAAGAGACGAGCGTTCAGAATTGTGCCGCTATCGTCGGTTATTTGTGTTGTTACATTCATGTTCTTCAGCTACGGGCTGTTTAAAAACACACAGTAATGAAAATGAACTCACTGAACGTACACACTTTCGTTCTATTGGAAGGTACAACGTTTGATAATCAACCAACCACAAAAACTTATATTGCACATTTTGTGAAGTTCACACCAACTGAATATAATGGAAATAGAGGAGAAAAATACCTCTATTATTGCAAGAAAGAACCCTTTTGCGTTTCATTTTTTTGCTCTGACCAATTGTTTATAAAAATCCATTCCTCCTGAGTAAAGATGAATGATCTTCCAGTATTTTCGATTTACGATGCAAGTCCCCGCCGTCCCTCTGGTGTGCTAGCACTTCATGCTCCTCATTAGACTGCATTCAAATGGGGGGAAAAAACAACACTGATCATTACTCTCCCAGCAATCCATCAGCTCCGTTCCTCGGCTTAGACGGCGTTTTGATCGAGTAATGGCGGGTGTTCGTTCGGATGTCGAGGTGGTTCGGTTCTGCGGTCCTGCTGCCGCCCGGGTGTACACGGCTGCCGTTCTAGTGGATCACATTCTAGATTTTCCTTCTCGGGGGCCTGTGGGGGCGCCGCAGACTGCCGCTCCGGATCGGGCATCTCTTTCCTGTCGCTGGGCTGATTCTCCAGAGCTGGCGTGCACTTGCAGCAGAAGTATTGCTGCCCGATTTTCCTGAAGGCCGTGCGGAACTTCTTGATACGGAAGGCGTAGATGATTGGGTTGACGGCAGAGTTGCCGTGTGTGAGCAGGATGGCGATGTAGATCAGGTACATGGACTTTTCGTACTCAGGGCAAAAGAGCGTGATGCAGTTGATGATGTGGAGGGGGAGCCAGCTGATCGCAAAGAGAAAAAGAACCAGGGCCAGCGACTTGGCAAGATTCAGCTCCTTGTCGTAGTACCTGTTGGGGTCTGCGTGGCTGGTGGTGAACTTCTTATTGTTGAGCTGCTTGTGGATCACGTAGAAGATCTCCGCGTAGATGACCAACATGAAAAGCAGCGGCGGCAGAACCCAGCCGAAAAAGTTGAAGTAGACCATGTAGTCCATGCTGATGACATTTTCAAACTGGCAGGTGATGACAAGGTCAGAGCTGATGGAGCCGTTCTGCTGGAGACGCTTCAGGTTGTTCCAGCCCAGCATTGGGGTGAGCCCCACGACGAAGGCCACCGTCCAGCATACCACCACCGCCAGCCCTGCTCGCCGCCGGGTCACCACCCGCTTGTACCTGCAAACAACACACAGTCTCATGTCAACACTTCCGCTCACAGGACTCGCATGGTCTCTTATTTCTTGCAGCTTTTTTTCTCTTCGTCAGTGCGTCGGAATGAGAAAAGGAGCGATTGAAAAGAAAGCGTTACCATTCAGACCACGTTACACACATTTCCTTTAGGCACATATTTCCAGTGCCTGCAAACTTTTATCAGTACTGCTGCTTTTGCTACTTCTTTTGTTCAAGGAAAAGAAACCAGCCCTGTTACGATCATCTAATAAATCATTGCAGTATAGTACATTGGACTCAATGTTCATTGTTTCTAGTATTTCATTGAAAAGAGGCAGTCAGTGGAAGAAGGTAAAATCTGCAGAGGCTGTGAAATCTTATCGCTGCTTTATATGACCAAGAAATTGCCCAGAGAAAGTCAGACCGATACTTGGCGAGAGGAAGGGAAAACGTTATCTGATCACTCTCGCGTGTAGAGCAACCAATGCCGCCTTTTGGATTAATAGTGGCAGGTATTTACAACATCTAAAGCCTGAAGCAAAATAGAAAACCCTGCAAGGCCATTGCATTATCTCAGCCAGGGATTGTTGTGTTGAGCCCAGTCTGTGTCTGAAGCACGATGCTCATTATTCAGGCACTGAGCCTGGGAGTTTGCTCAGAAAAGATCAGATGCTAATCCAACAGCAGGGAGAGAGAGAGAGAGGGAAGTTGTGGGAAGCGAGTGGCATTAGGAAGGGAGTGGCAGTGGCACTCTCTAGTGACAGAATTCTTTTGTTTAATCGGTATTGGTTAAGACCGGTTAAGACGGTATTGTAGGAGCCAGGTATTGTTGGTACCACCTGGTACGCCCCTTTTCTTGTCTTTACGTTAATTGAGTCACGTGGTGTTTGGTATCATCGGGGATAAAGGCGTGTCAAAGCATCTTACACCGATGACAGATTAATTGTATAATGTACCTAAAATAAAACAAGAAGAACGCAGTAACTGGATCCTGGATTCATTGATGGAAGCGCGTCAGCAAGTTATCTCCCATACTCAGCCTCTCGGTGACACTGAACAAATTCACGATCACGTCACCTGCAGGTATATTTAGGATTTAAAACTGAGAGGACGTCATCTTCCTACTTGGATGGTCTTAAATGAGTATAGGGCTTAAATAGATAAAAATCATGTTATCAAACCAATGAACGTTAATCTCCTCTGTGGCTCGGCTGACAAGATCTTAAGACAATAAACTCCCAGATTCTCTTTTCCTTCCTTCAGTAATACTGCTCAGTCTTTTGTTCTAGCCATGATAAACCCGTGACATCTAATACTAAGAGGTATATTACACATATTGACAGCATAATTTACTTGTTTTGCCCCCAAGGAAGATTATATTATATATATATATATATATCAATATATATAAAACATATTTATTCTGTATGCAACCCCCTTCTGTCCCTGCACCCTGCCATCTAACCACCTAAAGGACCAAATTAAAGCTGTTTATCAGATATACTGTGTGAAACAAGACCCACGAGGAAATGAATGCGCGCAGGTCGGCTGCTGTGTGTGAACAAATATAATCATTGCCATCTTTAACACCATTCACACCACCATCGCCGCCGAGCGACAGAGGGAATAACACGTGGCTTCCTCATCGGGCTGAGAGAATTCCTCGTTACCTGGTTGGGATCTTGACCCTGAGATAGCGGTCAATTGCAATAGCCAGTAGGGCCAGGATTGAACTTTGCGTCAGCACCAGAACCGTGCACGCGACCAGCAGGCAGCTGTAGAAGTGAGTTTGGAGTCCGATGCTGATGGTGATGGCCAAAGGGATGACCAGCGCTCCCACTGCAATATCCGCCAGCGCCAGAGAGACGATGAAACAAAACGTGTTATCGCGCAACGATCTGTTAATTTTCACCGCCCAAACGACCATCACGTTCCCGATGACGGACGCGAGCGCGATCACCACCTCCATCCCGATGTAGACCGACTGCGCTCGGGGAAGTGCTCCGGGCATCCTTGCAGATGATTGTGTCCTTGAAAAGCACGGGGTTGATTTCAGGGGAAAAAAAGACGCCTCGCGAGGAGCCGGCAGAGGAGTCTTTGACTGTCTTGTCTTTTTTGGCACTACAGAATGTTCCAAATGAGGCGCGCGTCCATCGGTTCCGCGGTGCCTACATCCTCGTGGTTATGAGATACAATGAGCAAATACACCCAGTTGTCTTGCAGGCAGGACGCAGGTAAGCGCGCAGTGGGAGAAACACGAGGGGTTTCCCCGCTGGGGCAGGTGCTGTGGTCCGGTGGCTGTTGTGCGTCGCTGCCGCTCTGTGACTTGCGCATCCACTTGGATGAAGAAGACACCTGCCCCTGGTGAGAGCAGCATCCTCCACTCGACCCCCTCCTCCGCCTTCCCCACCGATTCAGCCGACAGGGCGTTTCGTCTTCATCTTCATCGGCCTTCGTAATTCAGCAAAGCGGGTTTTAACGGGAAAATACGTCGTGTGTTCTGGAGGAAAGCGCGCGCAGTTCCAGCTCTTGCGCAGGCGGGTCCGCCACCTCCTCTTCCTCCTCCTCCTCCTCTTCCTCCTACCTCCTCCTCCTCCTACCTCCTCCTACTTCCTCCTCCACTGTGCTTTCTGTAGGACCAATAATGCAGTTTTCCCAATATAGCTGCGAGATTTTCGCGCCTTCTTTTGTTCCATTCAGATGTGTTGTCTTTGCTTCTGTAAAGTCAATATTGATTTCCGTTGCGCCTTCTGCGGGACCGTCCCATGCAGTGCTGCTTTGAGCGGACGCTCGTTTTCTATATTGCGCCGTGCAAGCCTCCCCCGGCGCCCTTTCAAATGCTAATGGGCCTTGCTCGTTTGTCCCGATAAGACCGAGCGGTGAGCTGCCACAGCTGCCACATAAAAATACAGATAGAGCCATTGAAAGCGGCAGAGACCATCAAATATTCCCCATAAGACGAACAGAGTAAATGATGGAATCACACAATATGAATCCCACTGTTTTTACAACATAGAATTCACAACACCTTAGAGAAACATGAATCTGAAACGGCAATACAGATTCAGGTCATTCTAAATATATGTGCTTCAGACACTTCAGAGACTTTGAGCGCGTGGCCTGCCTCCAAACTAAATCCATAACACCAGACGGGAAATGCTGCGACTGATTTAGATCTATTGATCAGCCTTAAAAGAATATTTCCTGCCTCTGACTTTGACCATTCAAAAGCAGGTTTCAGGTAACACAAACCTTCCTGTCACTTTCTTAGAAACACTTGATATTCCCTGAGCAGCCAATCATTCCGAATATATATATATAGCAGTGAACAACAGCGCCGATCTCTTGTGCTCCCTCGCTGTGGTTCAAAGGTTTCCAGCAGGCTGTTGTGGGATCCGTCTGAACATGGCAGCATCTCCAATTTCACATCGGTGCAGAACTGACAATGTAGACTAATGGAAGAAAGAAGGATGGAAGTCCTGGATGTCGGATGGCATGTTGAGAGATAAGACACAAAACGAAAAAGGCAATACTGTGAGTGTGAGATGGTACTGCCTGTAACAAGCTTCTGTCAGTGGCCGGCGTCATGGTGAGAGACATCAGTGTGGCGTCTAGAGACCAGCCAGCACGCCCCCAAGAAGGAAGCAGCCATATGGTCGGCTGACGGCGTTTGGCACCAGTCACACTTCTTTAACTGATCTTTTAATGAACATAATCGTGGTTGGCTGACATGGTTCACAAGCAATAGAGATTCTAAATTTTCTTCTACCTTTGTAACCAAGTGTCAATCAATATACACACGAGTACCACATTGATCATGAAAGTTGCACTAATTCGGGCCGTTCCCTCATTCGGTTTTGATACTTTGAGCAGCTTAGGCATGTTGGGCAGGTCTGTGTTCCCATGCTTGGAATGAGCAGGGAACACAGACGTGCCCAACATGGCCTGTGCGACCCAGTCTCACAGCTAAACGTGTAATAGCCACGTTGTGGAACGTGGTATTCTCACGCTTTCTCCCCAAAATCGTGACAATACTACGTTTTATTTTGGCCCATTCATTTACATTGCCTTGCAACTACGTCACAAGAAACTAATAAACGGAAGGTCTTCTACATTCTCTGATAGAAGATAATGAAAATATAATGCGTACTTCTTGCTAGAAATGCCATCGAAATGCATACAAATGCTGATGCTTTCTTAAAAAATTGTGTTTTTCACAGATGATAAACCGACAGTCCGCCATTTTCTTTTTTTTGAGCTGAGGGAAAGTTGATAGTCACGTGACCTTGTTGCAAATCAAACGTGGTATTGTCACGCTTTCTCCCCAAAAAGCGTGACAATACCACATTGGTCCACAACACGTTTAGCTGTGAGACCGGGTTGCCTGTGCAGACCTCACAGTGCTTTGTATGCTTGTTCTCAGTGTTTTCACCGGGGACATGACAGTGTGTGAAGTATGAAACGGGCCCTGTATCACTTCCTTAATTATCCTTTTCTCACTATTAGGCCCGTTGGGGATGAGTTTGAGTGAACAAAAAACCCAACCATTTTGCTATATCCACAGATTTATGAAATGGGGAAACGCATCCGTGAACAACGGCCATTTGTTTCCATCTTGGGACGTGTGGCCAGCGGAGTGCAGGGTGCTTCACATTTATGACATTCTACAGTTCACTGCGCTTCTCTCATCTGGTTTAGAATCAACGATAGCTCAGCGGTTACAAAACGTCTTCAGTGGGTCCGTGGCCTTCAGCCAGCGTGCTGATGTTCAGATGCGATGTTAACTGCTCACAACAAAACCCTGTGCATCAAACGCAGATCATCCTGATAGACGACTAGAAGGCCGACTAATGGGCTCAAGCGCCGAAAAAGAAGGCTTCAGCTGCCTGATGAAGAACTGAAGCGCGAACCATCAGATAATGTCTTCCTCCAGTGCCTCGTCGGCTGAACTGTTGAATATTGCCAAATTGTCATTTAACAAAAAAAGCACTGAACCGAAACAGACTGCAATAAAACGTTATTAAAACTGACACAAAGACTTTGGACCTTGTCGTGTTAGCCAAGTCTCTTTCCAGCAAAACTGTTAGCGATATAAAGACATTTAAGCATTCGTATGTATCCCTGAGGACAATTACTAGCACACAAACCCTTTAAAGTACCATAGCTCATTGGTATAGACGGGGCCCCTTAACACGGAAAATGTCACATCACAGAGAAAAATTAAAAACAGATCTTAAATACGATTACGTACGTTATGATTTGATCTGTTTTCACACAAACCCAGCAATCAGGTCTACTCATTTCCTCTGCAATTGGTATGAATATTGGATTAAAGTTGATGTTGAGGTCAGCAAACTGCTGCGCATGACAGAGTGAGATCATCTGCACAAGGCAGAATGTTCACTGTACGTGTAGATTAAAATTAGTTTGCTGTTGTTTCATTTTCTTCTTTACTCAGAGAAAAAACCTTTTGGACGTTCTCATTTGGGTGTTGGACCTCTCCTCAGAGTTACCAGCTGACTGACGATATCGCTCTCCTGCTCTTTGTGCGTGAGATGAACCGCTGCACCCACTCGAAGCCTGAGCTTGTCACGGTGTGGTTCACTTCCTGTCTTATTTTGTAGTTTTCTGCCACTCGTGTCCCCGGGTAACTCAGCAGACCCGCTGCCAGACTACGGTCCGGACTACCTGGACGTAAGGAGTCCCTTCTGGCAGCGGAAAACAAACTGTGTTTTTGGTCCCAGGAGCTATCAGCTCGCCTGCCTCGAGCTCCGGGACCTCCTTAACCCTAGGAGGAGCAAGCAGAAGAAGCGATCTCCCGTTCCCGCTGGGCCGCCGCAGCGATCTCCCGTTCCCGCTGGGCCGCCGCAGCGTTCTCCCGTTCCCGCTGGGCCGGCCCGACTCTCAGCCATGCCCCCGACCCCCGAGCCAGCGCCACGATCCATGCCCCCGACCCGACCAGTTCCGGCGCCACGTTCCATGCCCCCGACCCGACCAGTTCCGGCGCCACGTTCCATGCCCCCGACCAGTTCCGGCGCCACGTTCCATGCCCCCGACCCGACCAGTTCCGGCCCCACGCTCCATGCCCCCGACCCGACCAGTACCGGCCCCACGCTCCATGCCCCCGACCCGACCAGTACCGGCCCCACGCTCCATGCCCCCGACCCGACCAGTACCGGTCCCACGCTCCATGCCCCCGACCCGACCAGTACCGGCCCCACGCTCCATGCCCCCAACTCGGCCAGTCCCCGCTCCGAGACTCATGACCCCGACGCCCCCAGTCCCCGCTCCGAGACTCAGGCTCCCTCCCTCCCATCCCATGGTCCTCTCCCACCCTCCCGTTGGTGATTTGAGGGCCGTCTGGGATCCGGCCCTTGAGGGGGGGGCTACGGGGTGGGTTATGGGGGGGGCTGAGCCGCCGCCGACTGCGGAGGTGTTCCGTGTCCCCGAGCTGGAGCAGACTGCGGAGGTGTTCCGTGTCCCCGAGCTGGAGCAGACTGCGGAGGTGTTCCGTGTCCCCGAGCCTGGAGCAGACTGCGGAGGTGTTCCGTGTCCCCGAGCCGGAGCCGACTGCGGAGGTGTTCCGTGTCCCCGAGCCGGAGCCGACTACGGAGGTGTTCCGTGTCCCCGAGCCGGAGCCGACTACGGAGGTGTTCCGTGTCCCCGAGCCGGAGCCGCCGACTACGGAGGTGTTCCGTGTCCCCGAGCCGGAGCCGCCGACTACCCAGGTGGTTTCCCGTGTCCCCGAGCCGGTGCCGCCGACTACCCAGGTGGTTTCCCGTGTCCCCAAGCCGGCGCCGCCGACTACCCAGGTGGTTTCCCGTGTCCCCGAGCCGGCGCCGCCGACTACCCCGGAGGTTTCCCGTGTCCCCGAGCCGGCGCCGCCGACTACCCCGGAGGTTTCCCGTGTCCCCGAGCCGGCGCCGCCGACTACCCCGGAGGTTTCCCGTGTCCCCAAGCCGGCGCCGCCGACTACCCCGGAGGTTTCCCGTGTCCCCGAGCCGGCGCCGACGACCCCGGAGGTTTCCCGTTTCTCAGAGCCTGCCGTTCCTGAGACGTTCCGTGCCCTGTGGTCACCGCTCCGGAGCCGGCGAAAGGACCGCCCGCCGGGCCGACCCCCAGAGGCTCCCCGCTCGTCTGGCCGCCCGCCGGGCCGCCCGCCAGAGGCTCCCCGCTCGTCTGGCCGCCCGCCGGGCCGCCCGCCAGAGTTTTCCGGGTGGTCCGACCAACGTCTCGGGTTTCCCTCCCCCCCTCCCCTTGTTTCGCTCTAGTGTGAGCCGCCTGGAAGTCGGCCCTTGAGGGGGGGGTACTGTCACGGTGTGGTTCACTTCCTGTCTTATTTTGTAGTTTTCTGCCACTCGTGTCCCCGGGTAACTTCACTTCCTGCCTTGTCTCGTCATCCCCTGTGTTCGTCTAATAGTTTCCACCTGTGTCCAATCACCTGCACCTCCCTTGTGTATTTAAGCAGTGTGTCTCCTGTGTCACTTGTCGCGTCATTGTCTTTCGTCTTGGATCGCCGTAGTCTCATGCCTGTGTGCGTTTGCCCCGGTTCCTGTGTTTTTTGACCCT